AGTCATTGGAGTCTCTGGGCAATTTCTCAGATTTTGTCATCACTTGCTTTCAGATTTCAGATTAGCCTTCCAATAGCAGCCACTGAATGGAACGACTTGCTAGTTCATGATCGACAAAGTACACACTTTCTAAAAAGGGCAAAAACACATCATCCCTCAGCCAACTGATCACAGAGTATACAAATCTGTGAATTCTTATTATACCCCCGTTATACCAAGATTCCGTCCGTCCGTCCGTCCGTCCGAAAACCTTGTCCGCGCGATTTCTCTTAAACTATTCAGGGGATTCATCTCAAACGTAGAACATATAATCTGTGTCATATGGAGGGGTGCAGTCAAAAGAATTTTTATATTTAAAAAAAAATTAATTTTCCATTTTTTAATGAATTTTTCAAACCCTAACGTCCGTCCGAAAACTTTGTCCGCGCGATTTCTCTTAAACTATTCAGTGGATTCATCTCAAACTTAGTATATATAATCTGTGTCATATGGAGGGGTGCAGTCAAAAGAAAAAAAATGTTTATATTATTTTTCCATTTTTTTAATGAATTTTTCAAACCCTAGCCCTAACCCTATCCTAGCTATTTAATTTGTAACTACTGACACACTAGGCGGGTCGGGGGTGTTAGTGAGCCACGCTCACTTTTGCACTTGTTTTTAAATGCATTATGATCATCCGTTGTTCAGTTGTTGTTTAACGGCGCACTCAACAATATTGCAGGGAAATATTTTGGGGGATTCCGGGTTGGAACAACCTTTTGCTGGTCGTAAGCGGAGATAGGATGATTCGGTTGTTCGGGTTCAGTGATTTGGTTGATTGCGTGACATTGTACCGCGACGTCGTGGGTCATTGTTCATAATATCAATCACGGGCGCGGCGATAAACAACTCACAGGCAAACCAACAAACATGGGTGCGATGGAAGTAGATAATAGAAGATGTCATAGACATCAGATAAAGTGATGATGAATGCGCTTCAACGCGTTTCACGGCTTGATAAATTGGCTAAAACGCCCCCCTCGCTGTAGTACATCACGCTAGGATGTGAGATTCATTCTCAGATAGGGCTTAAGCAATACCGCTACCGATCGCCTGGTCTGTGTACGGCGTTGGCGTCTGGTTAATGGCTTGTATTGGTGGATTGTTTAATGGCCATCATATCGCCATTAGCACGTCTGCGACATCGCCAGACGGGATCAGTTCATCGTTTCCATAGGTCAAGGTCAAGGTTGAAATGGGTCAACTAGTGTGCAGGTCTACACGTACGTACAAGAAATGCAAATGGAAATGTGAAACGCAGGTTGACTGATCCGCAGCTTACCATCATTGTTTTTCAGGGACTCTATCAATGAACTTGATACTGTACTGATACTGGATTTATTGGTCTTTTGACGGTATTAATATTTTATTCTATAAAACTAATAATCTGGGAATAATATGGATAAAGATACAACAATCTCCAGCTGAAAATGTTTGTTTGACGCCACACGCAGCGATTTCAAGTCACATGACATCGGTCTCTAAATAATCGAGTCTGAACCAGATGAACCGGTTCTTGATATTGGAGCAGGCTGCAATGCAGTCGGGGTGCGATGACAAACAATCAACCACGGCATCTAGCATGACCACCCGATCTGTTTTGACGCCTCTTACGTCAAGCTCATGTTGCTAGAGACTTATTCGATCACGGACTCCCCTCAGGGATAAATATGGCTGAACCATTCGACATATGGAAATCCCAAGGACTAATCTGTCCGAATTACACTTTCTAATGTTATGGATATGCCAGATAGGGTATAGGGAGCATGCTTAAATAGGTTGTTAGCGATTAAGTTAATAACATGTAAATGTTGCTCCAGTTTTGGTATTAAAATATGTCGAAGATGTGGCGTAGAAGGTCCTTCCAGCTTCCACCGAGCAATGTAATCAGTGACCTCCTTTATCAGAAACCAGCTCCGGAAAACCAGCTGACACGGAGGAACAGTGATCTATACTAGTCAACAGAAGTTAAGATTGTTTTCATATTACTATGATTTATCTGCCATTCCATGACGGATATAGTAATATGTAAAATAGTCCTTAATTGTTTTAGTAGTATACTTGGCATGGCAGATTAATTATGATTTATGCCAGATTAACTATAGTAATATAAAAGGGTCAGGTGGTCCTTATCGTCTTTTGAGTAGTGTACATTTAAGATGCAAGAATTCGCTGTGTTCCATAGTTGATCTTCGGTTCGAGACCCAGATTTCATCTTGATTTTTCTCTGAGTTTGCAATCCCTATACCAATACTTTCGTGAAAGGGATGAATGCGATTCCGAGATACCGATTGCGTCCATCGCGGCGTAAAACAGAAATGACACTAGAGCGAGTGAGTGTGTGTGAAAGTATGGTTTTGCGCCTCTTTTAGCAATATTCCAGAAATATCTAGGCGGGGAACACTCGAGATGTTCAAAGGAATGCATATCGGTCAGCGTAGTTGTGAAACGTAGTGTGTGTGTGTGTGTGTGTGTGTGTGTGTGTGTGTGTGTGTGTGTGTGTGTGTGCTTGTACTAGTCCGGACTAATGCCGATTTTATATAGTACTAGCCAACTAGACCCGTGAACATCCATGCTTGCGACTATGCTTGTCGTAAGTGGCGACTAACGGGATTGGGTGGCCAGGCTCGCTGATCATGACTGGGTTGACGCATGTCATCGTATCCCAATTGCGTGGATCGATGCTTATGGTGTCAATCACTGGATTGTCAGGTCCGGACTCGATTATTTACAGACCGCCGTCATATCGCTGGAATATTGTTAAGTGCGACGTTAAACAAGAAACACAAACACACACACACGCTCGCCCACTGAGATACCATGCCACAGTTTAACATGAATACCAAACTCAGACACAGTTTATTGACTCCGAGCCGACCCGTCCTTCTTTTAACCCCTTAAAGCCGAGCGCCAGGCAGGGTAACAAAAAGTATCACATTAAAACGTCTTTTGGTATGAAGCAGTGGATCGTTGCCCCTGCTGTCAATCACTGGTTTACCTGGCCAACAATTGTTTATTTCTGACCAGTTCACTTACAAGTACTATAGTATCAGTTTCGCTAAAACTCAACTTATAAAATATATATTTAATCCAACGAAACATTTGTCCGTGTTGTGGCATCGACAATCGGCTATAAAAGTGTTCTTCTGCCTTGATCGTGTGAAGAAAGGTACATTATGCACAAATCGATAGCACGTTGAGATTCACCACACAAGTCTTTTAGATGTAACCAGCATATTTCTTTCACCACACGTGTGTGACACTATATTATTAAGAAGTACATGAAAGAATAAATACTTTTAAATGGCATATGGAAGGATCAGGTGTGTGTGTCCATACAAAATCTGTGGACGAAATGAAACGATTGAGCTGGCAAGCATACAACGAAGCGTCTCATAAATGATCATGGCCGGGTATAGAAGTCTTCTGTACATTGCTGGCTAGATTGTCTGGTTGTTTACGGGCCGCTGTCGCATGGCAGAAGTATTACTGTGCGGCGTCAGGTAACAAACAAACAGTTACCTTTTTTGTGCAAATGTGAGTGGCGATGCGCACTGGTAGGGCCGGACATGCTCATACTGTTCGCGAATACCTGCAGTGGTGTGATTTTCAGTTATCCATTCATATAATATTCACCACTATTTAGCCCCTGGAATCTTTTTCGGCGGATAATTGAGACAGGTTATTCTCTGGCGTTGACTTTTCATACTTTATGTTTGCTGTTTAATTATGCAAATGTATTCCTCGACTTTTCAGTATTTACAGATTATTTTGTAGTTTCCTAAGATACCTTATCTTTTGGATTCCAGTGACCATTTCATCCAGTCTCATTTTCATCACTTCAATTGCAGTCATTTATGACGATGCAGTACCTCCGTAACGTTGAACATACAAGGATAATCCACACGACATGACATAAAACTAATATTAATTATGTTGTGTCCTAACAACAATGACATATGAGTAAACATAGAACTCGTACATGTAGTGTGCATAACATGTCATTTGTGTTTGTTTGTGACAACTCAACAGTTCATGTTTCACACAAAACATCCGTGTTCTTCAGTTTCTTGAATAAATTATACGCACATGGGAGCTTGCAATATACCAGGAACTCCAGCATTTGGTGTGTACATATTACAACTAATATAACAATCACAAAGTACAGTCGAGCATGATATCGATCTTTCTGCGAGGATTTCAAAGGACGTCATTCGACTTTTGTTCAAAAGGTGTAACTGCATTCAATGCCTTGGTCAAGTAAGCTTTCCGAACGTTTTATGGTAGTCATGTGGAGGACGTTTCCGAACTTGACGCATTTTGACTTTGACCATATGTTCCCGTGTTTTCACCAGTGGCCAATTGCCTTGCCTTTGCATGTGTTTGTGATGAATGCCAGCGGTGGCTGAGGATGCACTCACCTTTTCGCGAACAGCTGGCAACACCCCCATTTAATAGTGACTCACAGACACATGCTTATGATACAGTCAGCAATTTACAATGAACAAGGTTTCTTATGTTTTTATATGGTTAGGGTTTTAAATGTTTTTTTCGCGTATTATTATTGTTATGTACAGATTAAAATAACAAATGCAGGAAAGAGGGTTTGGGTGATCCTCGCACAGTTAGGCTGGTTAGTCTCATCATTAGCTCAGGGCCCTTGTAGAGGGGGCAAGGGCCCTGAGCTGATGATGAGCCTAACCAGCCCGACTGTGCCAGGATCACCCAAACCCTCTTTGCTGATTTTTTTATTTTAATCTGTACATCATAATAATAATAATAATAATAATAATAATAATAACCTGTTTCGCTAGCTGTGTTTGTTATACTAATTGTATTCCATCTATCTTCCCGTATCAGCATGTAGACCACGACAAGAGGGATTACATCTTTAGTTAAAAGAAAACGCATGGCATTGATAACAGTATCCATTATTAACGAGATATGCTTCTATTTTTCAGGTATTCTTGGAAGTTTCAATGAAGAACTATCACTGACTACCAACTCTAACAATGAATGCCAGTCACCACATGGTCACAAAATTATCAATTGTGGCTCTGTGATCGAAAAAATAATCTCAACACCCTTCGTTTTGCTTTCGGCAAAATCATCAACTTTATGTAAAGAATGGTTTCAAAGGATGCGATTAATTTGTCTGTCATTCATGAGATGCAGGTTAGTGAATTAGATCGGTTGCCTGTTTTTATTCAATTAATTAACATGCTACATTAAGCCCTGAAATATCTTTATTGAGCAATTGGATATGACCACATACATTTGCTGAGTCGACCAAGTCTGGTTAGTCATTCTGATAAACAACTGATAATGCCACAAGTTCTGGAGAATTTAAATTATTTAATACGTGTTTCGATTACAAATCCATTTTGCGAAAATCGTTGTTTTCCCAATGTTAATTGAAATGAGAAATGACAATACAAGAGATTGATGTAAAAAAAAAAGACTTAGCCTCGAGGAATGAATATATTATTGAAATAATGGTTTACCCTTGGGCAGTAGTGTAACATGTTGACAATACCTGACAAGCTAAACGCAAAACTATATTTAAGTATTTGTATTAAAAGAAACGACTTGGAATAACATGTGCCTGAAGCAGTGACTGAGAAGATTCTGTGAGTGGTTTGAAGTGAACGAAGTAATAACACATGAGATCTTGTGGACAAAATGGATAATGTAAACATTTATTTTATATTTTTGAACGAAATGTATTAGTTTGTGATTTGGTTACCTGGGAATATCACTATACCGTGCTCTTCTGTGTTTATACACTATTCTTGTGGTGACAACTGAGGGCTCCCAAAGGAATAATCCTTACAGCTAACTTGAGTTGTGGCTCCCTAGAAGTGAATATCATGGAATATATTATCAACAATACCACTTAGCAAGTGTCAATTCGTTGTGAAAGTGAAACGTTCAACCTAATTCTGGCATCATTATCTTCATTACCATCATCATCTTCATCATCATCATCTTGACATCAACAATGGATCATAAAAGCAACAACACCAGCTTCCCGGACTATGACAACGGCAGTGATGCAAAGACTATGTTTAACGTGGCGATCTACATCAACCACTATTACCTTTGGGTAATTTTTGCTGTTGGATTTCCTGGGAATATCGCAAGTGTGATCACAATATTCAGAATGCAAAGGGTCACAACATCAACCTTTTACGTTGCAGTATTAGCTGTCACTGATAGCTGTGCCATCGTATTTAAACTCGCATACCACCAACTTACGTTACATGAAGTGACATTGGATTCTGTAGGGTGTAAAATGTTAAATTTCCTCGTGCTCAATTTAGCGACATGTGCAAATTGGATTCTTGTGTGCATCACTACTGAGCGCTTTGTTGCTGTACGGAATCCACTGAAGGTTGGCATGTATTGGACGGTTCCCAGAGCAGTGATCAGTGTTGCAACTATTGGATGTGCGGTCGCTCTCTTTTACTGTCATATCTTGTGGACATACACGGGGTCAGGGGTGTTTTGCACAATACACCGTCAATATATCCACTTTTTTCGAAATGTGTGGTATTGGTTGGATGCTGTGGTGTACTCGATAGGACCGTGTATCATTCTGACAACGTTAAACTGTTTCATCATACATTCAGTGAAGCAGTCAACAATCTTACGGAACCAGTTATCGATGAAAAGAAAACAGAAGAAGACGAGTAATGGCACAATCAAACAAGATGCCCAAATTACCATGATGCTCATTTCCGTTTCTATTGTGTTTGTAATATTGACAGTTCCTAGGTGCATTTTTGTCATCATTAATCTGTACTGGGATGTTAAATTGGAAACAATGGAAGACGCTCAAAAGTACTTGATGGACCAGCTCACCTTCACTCTGTGTGATTCCACTCACGCAATCAACTTTTATTTGTACTTTATCACTGGAAGAAAGTTCAGGAATAACTTCCTGGATATGGTTCTTTGTCGGAAGCCTCGGAAGTTAACCAGGAATATGTCGCAGTCGGGAACCACAGTGACCTTGCAAACAAAGTATAAATCAAATAGCTTGGATGAAGGTCAAACGGAAGATGAAATTTAGTGGAACATGTTTTCTTACTTAAATCTGTACGTTTTGTTATTGTATATGAATGTTTAATGAAGGTTTAGAAACAATTTCATTATCAATTTCGCTCACTATACCCTGTAAGTGTCAGTGTCTTTTGAATGGATTGATATTTTAAATCAAATATAACCATCTTGATATTTACATCTTCGTTATTGCCAATACTAATAGCATTTTATGCCCATTGGTATTTAAGAAAAGCGTGTGTACATCTAGTATATTTAGTAGTAATGAGACATTAACAATTTCCTTGGTTTTAATTTTGTTGTAATCGTTGAAATTGTATAGTGGTTAGTTGTTGGCGTACAGTAATTGGAGTATGAAATTGGATTTATGAAAATGAACGTTTATGGGTGTCACGATCCACAATTTTGAGTGCGGTGAGTACGAACGCAATATGAAAAGCAATCTCCAGATTTGGGCAACTTGCTGTAGCCCTGCAAATAACTCATTTGATTAACTTGAGGTTTTTGTGTTTTAGGTGTTCTGAGACAGTGGGGCGACTTTGAGGAATTTGATCATTGACTCCATTGTATAGGTTGGCAAAAGCATTATGTATCATTGATGCTCTCCAGATGTTCATTCGACGCCGATTTCTCAATAAAACTATACCAGCGATATAAATTATGAACGAGTGTACAATAACAGCATCCCTTCACATTCATGCCAACTTTTTAAGACACCCTCTTGAATGATATTTGTCCTGCTTTTTAATAAATGTCCTGCATGGGGATTTAATCTGAAATAGCCTGAGCATGACATAAAAACAAAGATATATCAATTTCTGTATCATTAATTCCCGAGACAATGGTCTTACAAGTAAGACTGATGCTTACCATGTCATGTTGTGGAAAGACATTGATACCTAAAAGTGTGTTGAATAGGGCACACGAGGAGTTGTAAAGGGAAATCCTGATACGTATACATCTTTCGGACATTTGCCTTTAAACTACCAGCTGGGGAAACCAATAACTGTACATCAATCACTTTGGAAGACATTGAGGAGTGACTATGTGATTTGCGAATCAGGATGGTACAATATGTGGCACTGAGGAGCGATGTATAACACACCCATCAGGCAACCTCACATTCGATCATACACTGAAATATGAAACCAGATACGAAGAAGTAAGGAATATTTAAGGAAAACAATTTCATTTTCTGTGCTTTGTAGGCAATCCCTAGCAATGAACAACTCCACAGACTACCCTGTTTATGAATACGACGATGATGTCACAGCTGTGTTAAACGCTGGCATCTACATCAACAACTACTACCTTTGGGCAATATTTGCTTTTGGGTTTCCTGGAAATGTTGCAAGCGTGATCACAATTATTCGGATGCAGAGGATCACAACATCCACATTTTATGTAGCAGTGTTAGCTGTTGTCGACAACTGTGCCATTGTCTTCAAGCTTCTGTACCACCAACTGACGCTTCATCAAGTGTGGCTTGATTCCATGGGGTGTAAAATTCTCAATTTTCTGTCTTTATTTTTTACGACATTCGCAAACTGGATTCTTGTGTTTATTGCCACTGAGAGATTTGTGGCTGTGAGGAAACCTCTAAAGGTGGGAATGTACTGGACGATCCCACGAGCTGTGGTCAGTGTAGGTGGCCTTACGTGTGTTGTGACGATTATTTATTGCCACATATTTTGGACATTTACTGGAAATGGACCAGATTGTATGATATTTCTTCAATATCTACATTTCTATCGAGATGTGTGGTATTGGCTAAATGCCGCTGTATATTCACTGGCGCCTTGCTTTCTACTTATAACTCTGAATTTTTTTATTGTTCAATCAGTCAGAAAATCCACCATCGTCCGGAACCAACTTTCCATGAAGAACGGGACGAAATCGAGTAACTCTAGTCGATCCATGAGACAAGAAAAACAAATTACTGTGATGCTTGTATCAGTGGCCGTCGTGTTTATTATTTTAACGGTTCCAAGATGTATATATGCAATTGTCCACTTATATTGGAGTGTTCAACTCGGGACAATGGCTGATGCACAGAAATATCTGCTTGACCAGTTAACTTTCTTTCTATGTGACTCAAATCACGCAATCAACTTCTATTTGTATTTCACTACGGGAAAAAAATTTCGTCGTCACTTCTTGGACATTGTACTGTGTCGGAAACGGCGGATGAGGGCCTTAAATGTATCCCAGTCTGGTACAACAATGACCTTACACACCTATAAGCTAACCAATCTAGAAAATCGACATGTCAAGGAGTTGTAGTATGAGCTTTGAAGTATCAGCTCTTACGACAAGCATAGTCGCCTTTTACGGCAAGCATGGGTTGCTGAAGACCTATTCTACCCCGGACATACGGAAACAGAAACAGATTATCTACTGGCATGGTTTTAGAACTGTTAATAGTTAATTAAGTACCATTTCATCAGATGAGAAGACTCGGTACTTGCGACCTTCAGGAGAAAGAGACAGTGTTCTTGTACTCTACAACAGGTTAAGGTGGTATCGTTGACATTTGTCAAAATCAGATCAATGTCTTAGCCAGATAGGTGTACACTTTAATCAATGACGAAAATGTTATTGGAGAATTGTATAGATAGTGTTATATCATATAAGATGTGTGAATGGAACCGCTATACAAAGGGAAGTTGTGCGTCGAATGATTATATATCATTTTCCAATTTGAATGTACTTATCTAACTGCACGTTGTTTGTGGAGGTGCATAATTTATTTATGCCTTCCATTACTGACATGATTAATCTGTCATTACTGATACATGTAAAATAACCTGTATAAGATTTCAGCCATGTATTTTGTACATTATTAAAATGGTTGTATAGTTTCAATGCTATTTTAGAGGCGTTTTAGTTTGCCTGAAGTTTGTTATGAATATTACTACAATCAATCGTTGACAAAATCAATATTGTACTTGCCATTCAAGACATCTCAGAAGTCTAACTTGTAATTATTTCAAATACATCATACATTTCATGATTCATCAGTATTGTCAGCAGGTCATAGGAAAAATCAATGTTTAACTATGTTCATTTTCACATTTACACGAGGTCATTTCAGAAGACATTTCAGTTGTGTAATCCACTTTTGTTCTTTCACAAACTAAAACGCCTCCTGATTTAGATTAGCAGTGGCCCGAGAGCAGCTATCGTATAGCACGTAACATTGGTGAAATAACGTTTGAAGAACGTTCATGGGGTGGTGGATTTTCATATTGTAGATGCATAGCACTTAAAATATAGCATGTATATTTTCCAGCCAGGGTACAGATTTCAATCAGGAAAACATCTATTTTTTTCTGATAGTGTTCCAGACATGTTTCAGCATATGATCAGAAGATGAACTTCAAGTTGACTTAGTTGACAGTACACAACATTGAGTCATTTATGATTCTATTTCTATTATGAGCAATCCTAGATGTAATAAGAACTGCTGTATACAGTTGCCATGTTGATCAGATGGTGTGTATTACCCTTTGTCTAGTCATTGCCTCTGATACAGACTGGAGCAATGTTCTGTAATGAAACAACGGATTGGGAAGTGATAAGAGAAATAGTATCGTAAATAGTGTATTAACAGGTCAGTAGGTTAGTTGAGTAAGTATTCAGAATATGTAGATATATGTATGGGAGACGGTTTCTTTATTGCTCGTAGAGGTTTTGTTGAAGGCTATCAAATACCATCGAGAAAATAAACAATTACTGTATTGGTAGAATGTTAAATATCTTAAAACGTTTCTTTCAATCTTCATGAATACGTAGTGGACTTCTATTGTTTTGTAATTACAGATAAACACAGATTATTTCATTTGATACTTTTTGATACATTGATGATTTTAACCCATTCCTGTCATATTCGAATGTTTCAGTCATTCGTCACCAACTATAATTATCATCTGTTGTTAGTAGTCATTATTGATGGTAAAAACGTGACAATTTTGTACCCTAGCAGGATCAGCACTCATAATGCAGTTTGCATCGTGTGCTCATTAACGTCACATGCGAATAATTATTTAGTGAAACCTTCATTACGTCTAACACTTGTCCATGGATCCAATAACGTTTCCTTCATCTAAGCCTGCAGGTGTGCTTATTTTAGTTTAGGTTTGAACTATCAGTAACTTTCAACAGAACGAAGTCTTCATGTATTTATCGTAGAGAAACAAATTTATAGACATCATTGACCATAATGAACCAGGTTAAAAAAACGTGGAATTTTATAAACTATTGATCATGAGTTGTTCAATTTTACAAATTCGTTCTTACGTTATATTTCTCAGTGAAGTTCATGGATCAGCTGTCGTATTGCAGTAGTAGTTACTTGTATGTATTGTAAATAAAATTGCGAGTGGTGCTCTACGGAAAATTGTTAATATTTCAGCTGTCGCTGCTCTTTGTTGTATATATTTGTTGCCGTGTGAATATTACACCCTGTGTCACATCTCTCTGATTTCCCAGTGGGGCCTTAGAAATTAAAATAACTATTTCATTGTGTGTTTTATTGTGCTTTCTAAGAACATAAGTCCAGATAAATACTTGCAATAAAAGCCTCAACAGAAATCTCTGCTAATTATAAAAGGAAAGGCCATTTTACGATTCCGACTATATCATTCGAATTTGTTGAATTTGACTCACTATCAAATAGTGATGATACCAGATGTTCGCAAAAAGGTATCCTGACCGTTAAGTGGTACCGTCACAAACGCATACAAAGGCAAGGCAACTGTTCATCTAAGCACATGGGGACATATGATACAAATGAAAATAAGGAATTGCATTGGAATCATGTTTGACATGGATGCGTCAAATTTGGAAATGTCCAACACATGTCCACCATAAAACGTTTTGAAAGCATTGCCGAGGTTTTGTAACCGTAATCAAATAACTTTTGAGCAAGTGTCGTAGGACGATGATTGAACTCTTTGTAGAAAGAGCATGCCCGATTGTTTCTGAAAGATTGAGAAATGTAAATACCAAAGGCTGGGGCTGATTGAATAAAGGGAAGGTTGACTATTGGAAAGTTGAAGTCACCCTCTTGTCATACAGTCTGTATTCATAGATCTAAAAATGAAACAGCCAAGGTGGTTCCATTGTTTCTTCTATTGTTAGTTCATGTGGGTAAATCAGTAGAAGGGACTTGGCTATTTGACCTTTATTGAACGATATCAGATTATCGATATACCTGAAGCTTGGGTTTGGCAAAATTACCTTGTTTTGACTTTGCCAATCCGAGCAGAAATTCCGTTTCATATCCATAAAGAAACAGATCAGCAAGAACTGACTGACTGACTGACTGAGTATGGTTTTACGCCACTTTTAGCAATATTCCAGCAATATCACGGCGGGGGACACCAGAAATGGGCTTCACACATTGTACCCATGTCGGGAATTGAACCCGGGTCTTCGGCGTGACGAGCGAACGCTTTAACCACTAGGCTACCCGACCGCCCCGATCAGCAAGAAAGGGAGCACCATTGGTGTCCAAGGGAATTCCCACTTTTTGCCTAAATGTCCTATCCACAAATTTCACAATGATTTTATCTATGAGGAAGTCCACCATTTCACATATTATAATGCTCAGAGAAGACATTTGCTTTCATTTTTAGACAAATTGTCCTGAACCTCTTAGGATGGAGATCTAACTATATCTATGGTCTTCATGTTTAGCAACAAATTCCAATATGATCAAGGAATGACGTTTTCCCTTAAGTTTGTCGAGTGGGATGGTTGATTACAAAGTTGAAAATCAATGGTTTTTACAGAATTGAAATTGGTTCTTTTCTGAGATTGAAAAAAGTCATGCAAATCCTTTGAGTTTTTGAGAATCCACATGGTATTAATTCCACTTCTTTCAAATACTTTCTTTGAATATTAAGAAAGTCTTCCTTGATTGTATTAAGGTTTATGGTTAATCTTTCATACAGGGAATTATGGTACAGTTGGTGGACCCAGCAATGTATCTCTCTTTGAGCTGGACTTTTGTGGAGCTTTGGAATCCACTACAGACGGTAAATGGACATGTTGAAGGTTGAGAGTCAAGTCAACAGTTGATAGTATTGGCCATACGTGTGACAATATTGATTTGTCAGTTATATCAGTTAATATAGCTAGGCTTACTTATAATGTTTATATTTTCTGAGGCATTGTCATTGAGAACAACTACAAACTTCTCATGTAGGACAGCCAGACTGGGGCGGAATGTGTTCATTCCAATAATGTTTCCTCTTTCTGAGTTTGCGTATACAGTAAACTACGGTTATGACGAACTCAAAGGGGCTACTAATTTTAGTTCGTTATAACCGTAGTTCGTTATAGGCATATATACAGCATAACTACAGCAAATAGTCGGGACCAAAAAAGTAAGTTTGTTATATCCGTCAGTTCGTTATAAGCGTGTTTGTTACAACCGTAGTTTACTGTAATATTAAATGGTAACGCCACTGAATAAACAGTCTCTAAATAACCCACTCTAAACGACATTCAACAGGTTCATCGTTTCTATTTGCCCATTATTTGGCATTGTATTGTAATTACAATCGACAGCAGCTTCTAATATTTTGGTCAGTGTTTGAACAACAGACTATGTTTGTTACTGTCAACGGTGAGAAGTCACCTGTGATATGGTCATCAGGTTGGCAGCAAAATGATTAGTCTTGGCAGCCACAAGTCGTGGAATTTAAATCATGAGCTGAAAAGTCCACGTTCTCTAACATGTTGGATGAACTTGGATGAAACGGTGTTAGAATTGGGAAATGAAACTGTTGGTGGTTCCTGAAATTTGAAATATTGTTGGACTTTTTAGGACACTGATCTTTGTGTAAAATGTCCGAGTCATCAAATCCTTTGGTAGAAGATTTCAAATTCAGGAAAATGTGGACTTTGTTTGATTAAGTGGAGTTACTTTTCCAAAAGCTTCAAAGCAATATCAAGAACTGCACTCTCTTATTGTTTGTAGACCCATCCATCAGCAAAAGTTGCGGATTACTTTCAGGTTCAACGAGAAAAATGTCGTCCTTAGTACCTAGTAGTAACTATGTGATTGGCATTCTAGAAATTGGTGAGTAAATAACAAAAACGTACAACTTTATGCATAAAAAACTTCTGGTTTATTGCATATATCGGCGTTTCGGTGTAATTTCTTACATCGTTATCAAGCTGGAGGCTTACATCGTTATCCACTCCAGCTTGATCACGGCGTAAGAATCTACATCGAAACGTCGATAAAGTTGTACGTTTTTATTATTTCCTTTATAGTGCAGTCCCAAAGGTTCCTGGAGGAGATGCACCAAATCTTCAGAACAACGGTTTCATTTGTTCTTCGTCCTTTCTTGTGACATTCATTACACCCCTATTGAATTGCTGTGCGTAACAGTCGAATCCAATGATTATCTTTGGACATCCTATAAGGACGACTGCATGCAAGGCTTTTAGATGGATAGTTATATTTTCTCTAATATCCTTTCATGAAAAGGATTTTCAGAATTGAAGCATGTTTAAATTTATATATTAGAGTGGGTAATCCCAAATATTGTTTGGGGTGACGATAGTAAAATGAAATAAGTAATGGACATTCCACATTTCTCAGTCAACTTAATGTGAGAGCAAAGATTATGTAATGTCGGTCTGCATATCTAAAGTGACTGTTCCACCCTTAAAGAAGTATTATGCATGACCACGCAATGTACAAGAAAAGCTTTACTTCACTACAGATAATACGTCATTTAAAAGGATGTATTAATTATGACCACCAATAATCGTTTTAAGTGCTGCAATAATCAAAGCGTAATGTTCCAATTTATTATACTTGACTCCCATCAAAGAACGCTTTTTAATCTTCTTATAGCCATCCCAAGCAATTCGCTTTTTACACTATTATAAATCAACTTAAAACCATGAATGCGGTCGTCAATCTCATTGCTGAAATGACACACCATGATCACATAGAAACAAATTCAAGGAATCCCGCACCTTTCCCCAAATAAATACCATGATCATGAGACACCAAAAAACCCTCTACGACATCTCATCTAGACACCTCATTATGGTCACATCGATTTTGTTTACCAGGTAATTTGTCAGTAAATTGCCAAATGCCATGGTTTGCACTGAGACCTTTGCAATGGCAATCATGATACACATGAAGTGGCCTTTTAATGATCAGCAAGTCTGCACCATGTTCGAATACGATTGCATCGATTACCGTGGAAAGCTTGTTCACCAGATACAAAAGTGCAATACTAAATTGATACCGAGTGTTCATTTAACAGCTATCCTTAAGATTGATTTGTCCTAATGGCAACATCTTGTCACGTTTCAATACAGTCACATCGAATACCACAAAGAGCTTGTTATCCAGGTACTCCCTTAGTCACATTGAGACACTGCTATACTACACTGGCGCCAAGGTTTCGTTCAATAAGTGAGTGAGTAAGTATTGTTTTTAGCCGCTTTAAGCAATATTCCAGCAATAATACGACAGGGACACTAAAAAAGGGCTTCACACCATGTGGGGAATTAAACCCAGGTCTTCGGCATGACGAGGGGACGCTTTAACCACTGGGCTACCCCTAAATCCCCTCGTTCAATAAGTACCCATAAGACTATTCCTACTGGCGGCATCTGTCTCATCATATTCGAATACGGGTACATGGAAAACCCCATTGGGTCTCGGTGCCTTTAGGTTTGGTACCTCCCAATCTGGTGACTGACATACGAAGAGTACCCGGGTTTGCTGCCAGGAATACATCCCCTCTGACGTGTAGAGAGGGGTAGGGACCTGACCTCGTGATGAACCTGGCCAGGATAATCCTCAACCTCTTTGCTGCATTTGGTATTATTTTAATCTGTACATCACAATATTCAGAAAGCATTTTACGTTGCATCTTTCACCGAAAGATGATATAGAACTGCTACACCTTGGAACGTAATCAGGGTGACTTTGAGATTTGAACCCATGATCATAGAATTCGGGCACGTCTGTGGGCCGCACCTCAGTACAGTTAAATGCGGTGCCTTCAACGAATGTGACACCTTTGCCCCTGTATCTTCTTGTGGAACAAGACAAACAATACAACTTGTAATGTTACGAGTTATGGAGAATTTTAATTATTAAGTATGTGCATCGATTGGACGCAAGAGAAATAATTCAAACGAAAAGGTAACGAATATGTTTTCATAAAGGAATCATTATTTTAAACAGTGTGGACTGAAATGAGAAAATAGCGATACGGAGGATTGATCTTATTAAAAACTGTGTGAATAAAGTGTGAATAAAATATTGAAATTTCAAAATACCTTTGGGCAGTCGTGACATAAATTCAATTTCTTTGAAAAACATGTAGTGTCGGGATAAATTGCCTTAAATGATGGAAAATAAAAAAATGTAAATAAGACTTCAAATCTTTGTGGACAACAATATACAGTACACAACTCTCCTCCATTTTATGAAGCTTGGTAACCTGTAGATCTATATCGTAGGCGTTCTTGACGTAT